TACCTATAACCGTTAAAAGCTCGACATACGCAACCCACATCCATTCGAGTTAGGCCTGAGTTACCCGCACCTAAACGAAGTCGATTTTGCGGTAATGGACGTTGCAAGACCTCTTATAATGGATTTCGATGGCTGGAATTTTTGTTTTAATTGTTTGTGTTTGTCTATTGATGTATAGGTGTTGGATCAATGCAAGATTTAGAACTGTAGCAGTGTGTAAGTAGCACCAGGGGCCGGTGTGTGCGTGGTTGTGTGCTGATAGAAATTGTTCTTGCCGGCCGTTATTATAAGTGTGTTTCTCTTGACATTTTAATTATTGGACATAGTTTTAAGGTCGATACTACTATTGTAACTTGTTGTTTTTGTTTATTTGATATGTATATAACTTGTATCCATGACTGTTGTCTGAAGTTTTGGGAGTTGCTTATTGGCATGGTTGGAGGTGACTAAGCTTTGATGTTTGAAAACATGTCTTGAGAATAAAATGCACCTGTTAGTTTCATGTTATTTAGTGTATGTTTGTTAGTTGAAAGCTACTGGGTTATTTTTTTATCGTTATGTACGATGAAGAGCATGCTGGAATACTGTGTTGTGATTAGAAGTGTGAATGACTTATAGATGTCTTGGAGAGATTAGTTGGAGTTGTCTAGAGTGGTGGTGGAACGGACTAGTTGTTTGTTAATCTGTGACTTGTCTGAAGTGAAAATGCGGACCAGTTGTTTGGTTATTCAAAGCCCTTACAGAGGATGACTTGGGGGATTATGCGATAGAATCATAGTGGAGGGCTATGATTCAAATATGTGGTCTATCATGCAATGAAAATGGGATATACAAGTTTATGGCCTCGTGGGCAATGGTCGAGGCGGTTACGTCACTACTGGGTGTCGAGGTTCTAGGAGCAAAAGGTCGGGGGTCGACAGACCAGTCTAGAGATAAGTGTCGAGGCTCCGGGTACATATTGTTGGGGGTCGGCATGATGAGTTTATTTGATGATGAGTATTGGGTCTAGGCATGGTGGCGGTCGAGGACCAATACGCTGAGTAGTCGTCGGGGCCTTGGGGATAAATGTCAAGGG